AGTTTTTTAAGGGTAGTGGAAACGGGGTAATAGAGGGGCAGTGTAAATGGAAAATAAAAAAAAGGAACCTCAAGGATTTCAGTTAAAAATCGTAGAGGCGATTCAATATTAATAACAACAAGAATATGAACAGAAAAACTGTGAAACCTATGTTTTCATCTCATATAGCCCTTTTTCACAGCAGTGCATCTTTATTTACATACTTTTTTCCTCTTTAATTTAGGAAAACCAATGTAAAACAGATCATGTCCTGAAGACCCAGCTCTAAAAAGTTCTGACCCAACCCTTAAAGATACTAAACAATCAAATTTTTTACACTGAAAGGCAGGAAACAAATCTGCACCATATCTTGTAAATTGTTTGGTGCAAACCTTCATAATTTTTTTTTTCATTATCTGTTCTACTTTGTGTTTTCTATATAATGCCAATAAAACCCTGAGGGGTAAGTAGCTGTAACTTGATAAAATGTGAAAAGGTTCTTATGGTATAAGCAGTGTTGCAAGGTTTAAAACCACAAAGTGAACCAGCTTAATCAGAAGATGAAGCCTCAGAATATGGCAGAAGGCTGCTGACACTGCGCCGGGGCCTGCTGCAGGTTTCTTACAGTTAAAGGGGAGTTTTCCTTTCCACTGTTGCTACGTGCATGCTTGGTATGAAGGACTGCAGCAAAGTCAACAACACAGGGTAAGGCAGTTGTCAACTGTTGCTACCTGCTCATCCAGGAGTAGTGAATTCTGCAAGTCAATGCAATCTGCTTGATTTCCTTAGAAAAAACTCAACCCAACTTCATTGTTTGAAAACTAAGATCAGTTTTGCATATTTGCAATTTATTTATTTTTTTTGGTAAAATGTCTGGACACTACTACACAGAGAATCAGCGTTTCATTTTTGTCTTCTGTTTGACGACAGCAATATCCTCATTTTGGCCGAAAGAGCAGGTTGTGTGAGAGAGGAGTAAAAGAGGGCATCTATGTTAAGACAAACAAACCACTAAACAGAGAAGCCGGCCTCTGGTTTCATCTCTCTGACAACTGCAGCCCTGAATCATTTCCCTAGGTGCGTTTTCAGCAGTTTACACCTTGGGACTACAGACTAAAAACAACTCACACAGCATCCTAAGAGACACATTTGAAGCGTTTGGTGACAAAGACCCGAATACACTCTCCACATTGTCCTATTAGTGACCCTAAACGTCTAATTAGATACCTTAAAAGGCCCTGTTAGCCTTGTTAATAGGTTTCTCCTTCCAGCCATTTCCAGAGTTGAAAAGACCTTATAGATGAGAGGCGAAATGTCTTAAAATAACTACAGGCGAGTTCCAGTTGACTTACATCAAAACTCTGAAATAAACTATTAAAAAAAATTGGATGGGTTTTTGGTATACCTTAAATGCCAGAAGTTGAATTTTATTCTTCAGGCAAAACATTTAAGTTATCAGATGTAATTACATCCTCAAGCTGTAACACCAGGAGACTAACCTGCAGTTCCAGCAGGGGGCAGCATAAAGCTTTCCTGGATCAGGCCTGTAACTAACCCATCATGAGTTATCTGCTTTAAACCCCCCAGATCCCCCAAACCAGCAACCATGACACACACATTTTCATCTTGCTATATGTAGTGAGGACCACGTGTTGACAGTTGCTGACATTCAGTCACTTTTAAACCCTTTCTATGTCCTAACTTCAAACCTAACCATTAACAATGCAAACCTGACCCTAAGTTAAACTCACACCTTAGTCCTAAACCTCATCATTAGCAGAAAAGGAAACGAGGACCAGCAAAATTCCTTCTGTGGTACAAACAGTCCTCACTCTGATGGTGAAAATGGAAAAAAAAACGTCCCCACTCTGATGCCAAAACAGGAGCACAAACACACACATATCATTCGAGACCCAAGTGATTAATTTACGGCTGCTGAACAGCGACCCTACGGGGCCAAGAGTCACAAGGTGTCTGATTTCATCCAAATGAAACAGATTCTACACATTTTAAGCAGAAACTGTGAAAGAAATGTGGTTAAAAAATAGACAAAAAGGTGATGGATGCGGTTGGATGATAAAAAGGCATGTTACGATCAGATACCTGCTCTGTATATCTGCTTTGGCTGACTTAAGAATATACTGTATGGCACAAAACGGCAGGTAAACATCTGAATCTAAAACCCTCTGGGCCCCTGGCCGTGTTATGGAGCCAACACTAACTCCATAATGGTTACCACATTTTGTTAGAGTTGATTTTTCTGACTCTCAGCCAGTTTGAGCTGATATTTGGCTCATACAGACTCGCTTTTTGTGATTAAATTGATTCAGTCAAGATAACGACCTCATTCAGTTCAGCACACAGGAACTGGTGGTGAATCTATGGCAGCCTTCATACCAAGCATGGGCTGAACTATTTCTTTTGGCCTTCGTAGATCTGTGGCATCATGAAGCCATGAGCTATTTTTCTCTGACTGGGAAGCTGCAGCCAAGAGAAGATTTGCCTCACTTAGCATAAAGCCTGAAAGCAAAAGAAAAACCACCGGCTTGATTCTTTCCGAGGCCGAAAAGATCTGCTTTCCAACCCATCTTAAATGAAAATACTTTGCCTTATTGACGCTATTTACCATTACTTGAGCTGTTTCACTTGTTTTCATATTTAAACCAAAAACTTCAAGGTACTGTTGAGGACTTTATGTGAGAGGCAAACACAAACTATGGAATATTTGGTTTTACATAGGCATTAAAAAGCTGAAATGGAGTGAAAACCTCTTCAAAGCAAAGGAAAGGTTTATGTAAATCAGGGCAGTTAAAATGTTTTGCTTTTTTGCTGCACTTTAGTGCATCAGTTAACACAAATTATGCAATACCAGAAAGAAATTACCTGAGTTCTAGCCAAAAATATTTCTAATTAATGATTATATTTGTTAAGTGTTTGAATCATCCGAAACCAAATGAGCCCCTTAGGTAAATATCTCTCCTTACTTTTTAAAATTGTGAATTTACAGTGATTATTCATGTTTTTCAATTCCTTCAGGTCCTGTAGAGCCATGAAATAACATAAACAGAACATGCAGAGCAACATGAATTATATACATTTCTGAGAATCCTTGAAAATTATCTGAAGCTCTGCAGGTCTTACAGCCTCAGCTAAGGTAAAATTTAATCATTCAACACTTTTGCTTGATCTGAATGATACAAAGAAGAGGTGTGTTAGCAGTTTCTATGATAAGCGCTGTCGAAGCAGTGCTGGCAGTAAAGAAGGTGGTAAGCAGGAGAGCATGATGCTTCCTATCAAGAGTTCACTTAGCATAGGGACCTCCTGATGCCCCTAGCCGCTGCTAGGAGTTATACACTTGACCCACGATCTTTTGCATGACGTAGGAATACGTAGGAAAAGCCCACCTCCCAGAGTTTAACAGAAATTATTTTTTTCCTCTATATTTAAACTGAAAAGCTTTAGCCATTCTCGACATTTGTTAACTTCTGTGTTTTGTAGTTCTTTTGCTGAAGTCTGTAGACCCAGTTTGACTACCACCATCCATGTATGTTTCGGTCTGTTAAGACATCAGTATAGCTGAAGGCTTTCCGGATTTGGCACCGCAGTTTGGAGGAACTGGTGTTCTTATTGTTGATGATGCCACATAAAGTTAAAGGACGAAAGCTAGGAACAGGAGGTAGGAGCTCGGAATCACAGGTCTAAGACCAGAGTTACAACAGACTACTATCCTCTGAGGCCTTTTTTTCTCATACACTTTGTAGAATTTTTTTCTATTACAACCCTCAGCCATTTTTAAAGAACCGCAGTGAAAAAGGTGAGCTTCAATGACTGGCTGAAACCGTAGCTCACCACAAATATGCGCTTGAAAGTGTGCATGCACAGAAAAAGATAAGTAACTGGGGAAAAGCAGGTAGGATGGCCTTACGTAAACATATCAGCAGAATGATTGAAAATTAGGTGGACCACTTATTTTCATGATCCACCCGAAAAAAGAGAATCCTTCACTACATCTTTAAGACTTTAAGACTACATTTTTTGATGTAGAATGTGTCTGAATTCCCTTAATTTACCAAAACTGAGTGGGTCCCATTTCCTGGGTCCCAGTGTCTCATTGGCAATTATTAGAAACACCTGATGGCAGTTATTGAAGCTGCCACCTAATTACAACCAAATATTAGAGTTAAAGCTACAGTGTGTAATAATTACAGGGATATACAGTCAGAAATGTAATATATTATACATAACTATGTTATTTATCATCATCTACGAGCTCAGCCTCTTAACCTTAATATTTGCGTTGCCTTAGAATTCGTTATTTATAATTACATAGGAGCGGGTCTCGCAGCAATGGAGGCAGACATCTTTGCTCTACGGCAGCGCAGAGCCAACAAACTAGCGATTGCGAGCTCGCCAAAACGTCACAACGATGTAGAAAAAATAACGGGTATATTTATTATCTTAAGTCTACATGAAATCTATACCCTACACAGACTAATGAAATACTATCTGTAAAATTATCTATGTAAACAAACCTCATCACTTGAGAAGGTAGGTGATGCGGACGTCGTGGAAGACATTTTGTCCCGTAACGCTCGCCATACTATTGGGGGGAAGAAGCGGTGGGGGGGGAGATGTTCATGTTGCTGCAGTCTGCAGTCTGACCGCTAGATGTCACTAAAAGTTACACACTGTAGCTTTAAGGGGCGACTGCTTTTTCACATTTGGCCAGGTTGATTTATTAAAAATCTTTTGTTCTTTTAAGGCCGGCGTCGTGCGAGAATCTTTCAATCGGGCCGACTTTCAGCTTGATCGTGAGTCGTGGAATGTACAGGGGATTACGAGCGGCGATTAGCCTCTCACGACCACCTCCCGATCAGGAATCAAGATGTCGGGAGAAAATCAAACATGTTTGATTTTCTCCCGACCGTCGCGGGCAAATCGCTCAGGGCGCATCCGCAAAGAAGGATTCTTCTTTTTCTTCTTCCTCTCAGATGTAAACACAGCAGAGTGGCAGGGATGCAATGAGTGAAATGCAGTTCTGTCTCTTAAATTGACAGACTGTAGTAGCCACGTTTGTTTAGCCATGTCTTTTTTCAAATACGTCGTCGCCTTTTCTTTTTAGGACTTCCAGCACAAAATTGCACAAATTGACAAGGCAGCGCGTTTCACTATAGTGAGCTTAATATCCCCCTTCTATTTATTTGGCTTCAGGATAGAGAGCTACAGAGCAGCTCCATCTCACTGCGGAGCTGAGTCCGACGTGGTTTTTAGTCATACAGTGTGAGCAGGTAGATCGCTTCAGAGCGTCGGGCCGAACATAAATCGTGAGCTGTGAGCAGCAACTGAGTGCAACGATTGAAAAAAAAATCACACAGTGTACGCCCGGCTTTGGTGCAGTGATTCCCAGGGGTACTCGTACCCCTAGTGGTCCGCAAGCGCATTGCAAGGGATACATGAAAATATTTTATTTCCTAGGCAATAAGATAGTGTTGGGATCTGTTTTTCTTTGTAAGGAACCAATTAAAATTTAATACATGCTTTTATCAACCAAATAGTAAGTTCTTCTTATATGTTTGAGTTCCCTTTTAGCTTTGGCACACGTCAAACTGGATGTAGAAAACAGCCTGGGATCAGCTGTTTTTTTCACATTGAGCTATTGGAGCTCATTAAAGCAGCTTATGTGTCTTGATAAAAAAAAACGACAACTAAGTAAGTCAGTCTAATTAAAATTTTTGTTCTCTTTTTTATTCCCAATTCATGAAGTTTAAATATAATAAGGGAGTTACTCTGAGGAGCTCCAGTTTTATAACTAAAGGTTTATAATATGATTTTATTTTGTATTTATTTTGATGCCTTAGTAACTTCCAGGCAACATACTTGTTGGTGTTGCTTTTTATTTGAGATGGAAAGATTTAAATGCCTAAGAATTAAAAGCTTAAGTTAAAAGATTAAGTAAAAATAATGTATATAAATAATGTGTTCAGCATAATTTTGACTGAGGGGTTTTCTCATGTTAAGACAAAATGCCCAAAGGGGCACACAAGTCATAAAAGTTTGTGAAACACTGCTTTAATGAATGAAATCAACATTTCTTAACCACATTCTGTAATTTCTCAGATTACCTTTGACATAAACATGAGATTGATGATTTCTACATTAGAAACACTTTGTTTTCAGATTGACTCTGTTCAACCCTATTGGAACAAGTTTTGATTCTGCAAACATCTCAGGATTACTGCACACCCCATTTATCTTTACTGGAAAGCTCACATGACATCATCTGTTTTTGCTCTTCTATTTTGGGATTAGGAGAGGAGCGGCAGTAAATCCAAAAATTGTCCCAAGGCTCAACTTCAGTTGTTTTTCCTTCAAATTAAACTGCAACACTGTTGATAAAAGTGAAAAGTCGAAGGTCAGATGAGTTAAACGGCATTTAACTCTGAACATAATGGAAAAGAACGCCACAGTGAAACTCAGCTGCTCAGTCATCCGGAGACAGATTTGTCCCAGATGTCCTCATGAATCACCACTGCTCATAATCAGCAGCGTTTGCTCTAATAACAGAGACCCTGACTGAGCTGTCTGTGTTTGAGAGGATTTAGATATTTAAATATGACACATTGCATTCTTTTTATCTGTAAATATTTGTCTTTATAGTTGCATATCTTTGTCTAATGGGGGGTAAAAAATTTTACAGCTCTGTTAAAATGTTATTGGATCAATTATTTATGCAAACATACCAGGTTTTTATACTCACTGTAAGAGCTTTTCTGTTCATCTGGTGTTGAACTAGGAAAGAGCACTTTGGTGGTGGGACTCCCATTGGGCATGTCTATGTCCAGCCTGGGGAGGGAGATGGCATTCTTGATGATGGGAGAAACAGCAGGAGGCGGCGGGGACAGATCCTTTGCTCCCTCTCGGGGTCGGTTGTCTGAGCCTCGCCTGATGTGACGAAGCGTCCTGGAGAAGAAGGCGCCGATCTTGTTGTCAGGTGAGGAGACCGAATCCGTCTCCCCATTGTTCCCATTGGACGTCCCACCGTGGTTGCTCAGAAAGGAGGTGTCCCCAAAGACATCACCTCCACGTCCAACGTGCATGGTGTGGCGGAAGTCTCCCAGGGGAGGGCTGATCATGTCCACCGTCAGGTCCCCTTTATAACGCCGCCTGCTGTGGGAGTGTGAGACCAGCCCTTTAAGGCCTGACAGCTTCTCCTGGAGATTCATGATCACAAAGCCTGAACGAAGTAAAATCCAATTAATATATCGTCAAAATGTTTCTCTGATCCCAAACAGAGCTCCAAAATCAAGGCTTGGAAACTTTGCACTTTTTTTTTTTCAAGATTAAAAGGCAGTTCCAGATTTTCACTGGATTATTAACTCTGTGTGTTATGTACAAGCTAAACTCTGTCCCACGCTTTGTGGCTTGATTGTTTGCATCACTGAACAGATTAAAGAGGCAGAAATTGAGGAGAGCACGATGCAGTTGGGTTCCTGGATGCAGTCGATCCTATTGGAGAGCGGTCGGGCTCAGCGGATCGATCCAGGCTTCGGCTTTGTTGTCAGCAGCTTAGAAACAGACCTGTGTCCAGCTGAATTGGCTCTGATGTTTCACTGTGGCGACATCTATTACTAAAAAACAGAAAGAAATGTGTGTTAAATCTTGAAGCTCAGGATTTGTTTTATTTAGTGTTAGAATAATGGGAGCAAATAACATTTACAGTAATAAACTGATATTCAACAAAACTTTATAATAATAAAAGTTGTTGAAAAATTGACTATTTTTCTCCTTAAATCTTTCCCAGAGGTTTTTAGGATTCCACGTTCCATGTGTCCGCTGGTGTGGAACCAGCTAAATATAGACCCCGGTCCCTCCTATGTGGAGCAAACCAGAAGCTGCCTCTGATCCAAAAAAAGGGCGGACTTTCTTCTCCCATTCTTCCTGTTGTGTCTAACATGTCGGCTGTACAGAGTTCACATTTTACCGAGGGGACTTTCAGAAGTTTAAACTGGCGGACCAGGCCTCTTTCAACACATGAAGATTTGCTTAGAAACAGGCAAAGTTAGATAGCAGGAGATGATAAAAGATTCCTGATTAGAATTGTTGCTGCTGTTCAGTCCTTATGTCAGATTACAGAAACACCCAAAACAGCCTAATGTTGGGAGGATAGAGCCAAAAAAAATCGCTGTAGGATTGTGGTTTATTGATATAGTGGTTTATTGATGTAGTGATTTACATCTGATAAATCTGATGCCTTTATTCTCCTTTTAACTTTTTTATGTGTATCTCAAATGAGTCCGTTCTTCATGCGTGTTAGGGGAACTTTGGTTGGTTTATACAAATTCACAACTAAAGCACTTCGTACTAACAATCAAATCAGTGTCCTTTTTATCTGAGTGTTTCTGCATTGCTGCAGTTTTACATTGCTATGTAAAAACACTGGAACGCCAGGCCATCTAGTAATTATTTGCAAAAATGGAAGAAAAAGTGTATATATCAATCACCAAAAGATAACCAATCCCCTTAATGTTTGCAATAGTTACTTGTTTGAGTTTTAAATTGTATATTTTTTAATTTTCTGCTTCAGCTGGCTGCATTTTGTACTAGATTAATGGTATAAATGGAGCAAAATCAGGCAATAAAATTGCGGCTGTTGATCCATCCAACAATTTTCTCCCGCGCCTGTCAAGGGTTATGGGGGGCTGGTGCCTATCTCTCAGTCTATGTGCAAGAGGCAGGGTACACCCTGGAAAGGTCACCAGTCTGTTGCAGCGCAACACAGACACGCAACCATGCACACACAAACTCAAATCTAAGGACGATTTAGAGAAGCTAATCAACCTTAACAGTCATGTTTTTGGAATGTGGGAGAAGCTGGAGTACCAGGAGAGAACCCACGCATGCTTAGGGAGAGCATGCAAACTCCATGCAGACAGACCCTGTTATAGGAATCGAAAACAGAACGCAGCCCATGCAGCTATCAATTTCAGATGAATATACTAGAGTTACATTCTGTCTTGACTAACAGGGGATCTTCCAGCAGCCGTTTTTATGTTTGCATGATTCGTTTCAAACTCTTGATGGCTTGATGGGGATGAGACCTCATTACAGATGGGAGGCAAAGCGAGCTCAGCCCAAGGCAGCACCTGCAGCTCATTGAGAAGTGTGGAAACAACTTATTCTTTTAGGGCCTTTAAGTCTTTAGTAAAACCATAAAAAAACAATGCTAGATTTATCACTTATTTTTCAAAAAAAGGTATTGCCAGATTGATCTTAATAGTTGGAAGTTGCTACTAAGACTGTGAGGGAAACACATTTAAATGTATTAGACTTGTTTTGTGGAACTAGCACAAACTATCATGATTTAGGTTTTGTAGATTATTAAATATTAAATATCTAAACCAGTTCACCCTGTGGAAAAAAAAAACAGTCCACACATGAACCACAAAGTATTTGAAATATTTTTCAGTGACTACTTGACATCTAAAATGGCTTCTTTTCTAACTTCCAGTAGATGCTATCTGCTGTAAACAGGAAAAATCAGGCAGATTTATTTCTGTTTGTTGCTTTTCACTTTAAGTTCTTCACTTAAACAGTACTTACAGCTATAAAACATGTTTTTCATTGCTTTAATGAAAAATATATTTTTTGCAGATGTTTGAGTAAAATTTTTACATCCTTAAGGTAACAAAGGGTCTAGCACCCACCGTCCCCTGGTTATATTGTAGTATTACCATAGTTAATCTATCTATACTAACCATACTGACTTCTGTAGATAAAATTATTCCACTTTTTTTCCCATACCAAAACTAAATTAGTCTATTTGATATTTTTTGTATTCCAGAAGAGCAATTGAAATTATCATGGTAGAAAGAGGGTGTGAGCATGTTGAACAGTGGAAAGAGGTGGTACAATAACTCGTTGCGCTGCTTTTAATGCAAAGAAGGGGAACAGAGCGCACCACTTTAAAAATGAAGGAAGAAGCAGAAGTTTGTTATCACAACTGGTCACTACTGATGGCGAGCTGCCCTGTGTTATTTATGTATGTTAATCAATTTATTTGATTTGGATTGGGCTCATCCTTGTGATACATGTTTGGTTCATGCACAGCTAAAAAAAAAAACAAATAGGGCTATGATTTCTCTTTTTTTATTATTATTTTTTTTTTAGTAAAGATTAGAACCCAAAATGTCACACAATCCAATTTAATCAACAAAAAGTAAATCAAGACCACTGGTTACAGCTTACAGGAGAAAAAGATTTAGATAAAATATTGCAGAATGATTGAAAAATCCTTGTAAGGTGCTAATCTGGTACCGTGGTTCTCCAGTGATCATTACGGGTCCGTCTAAAGATGTTTTAGAGCTGATTGGTGACCTTTAGTTTATGTCTTCAGACAGTTAGTTATTATAAGTTGCTTTGCTGATTTATGGTTGTGATTTATGAGCACAGACTTCCAGGCTTAGTTGTGCTTTTTAACTACTTAGTTTGGAAATATGTAGTTACTGATGAATCAGTAACAGGAAACTTAATAAGACAAGATCTGCATGATCTGAGAATGATGGAGGAAGAGATAACCACCTGTTTAATGTTAATTTATTCTGTCTATTTTTCTTCTTTCAAATATTGTAGTAATTAGGATTTTTGTATTTATCAAGTGAGACAATAATAAGTATGATGAGATTATACTGAGATAACCCAAATATCTAATCTAAAAATAACCTACTTCCAATGGCTGTGTGAAACATACATTTTATTTTAACATTAATTTCTGATGTTTTTGGAAGCAGTTGATTATATTATGTCTCTGATGGAAAAAACTGTTAAAGAGAAGAAAAATAAATTGCAGGAGTAATTCAGGCAAAGGTCAGAAGAGGGCTAAAAAGAAAAGGACCCCAGTAACCAGCCAGATACACTGGGTTTAATCAGCCTGTCCAATAATGAAAGACAAAAAACAAAGGAGCAGGTTAAATTTCAGGAAGTAGAGGAGCTGTGCATATAGCCTATTATATATAGCCCATGTATTTGTTGAACTTTTTTAAGAGATGGGGAAACTCTGTATCCACAGACAGTCACAGGCATAGCCTAAATGTTGGATAAATATTTGTATTTACTTTTCAGTTTTTTTTTTGCCTCATATCAATCTCCACTTAGGGGACGGCGGAGCTCTTTAGTCCTGGTATCCACCCTTGAATCCTCCATTTCCACCCCCAACACCTTTCCCCCAACCCAGAGACACAATTGTAGTTTTCTAATAATAACACCATTGATTTAATAACTTTATTAACCTTAGGAAATACTAACATAGAGGAGAGGTATTGCTGGCTTTACACTTGATATTTGTTGTTTAAATATTAATAAATATGTTAATATAAATGAAGCCACTGTCCCAGTTTCTTAATATAATCTTGATGAGATATATTTCTGTTTACCAGCTGGAAATTTCCCCAGATTAAATAAAAATGCACTCTGTTTCTGTTTAAAAGCTTTTCGCAGCAGCAGCTAAATAGCCTCCCACACATGCAAAGCCTTGTCTGGCTTCATTAATGACCTGCTATGGGTCATGACAGCGAGGATTGCATCAGGTCCAAGGCAGCCCCTCTAATTTGCCGCTAACCGCAGTCCTGGGCCCTACGCTCCACTTCTCCTGGCAGCCGTTTTAAGAGGGACGTCGGGGAGCAGAAGGAGAAGAAACATACTGAATACTGTGCCTGAACCATAGTTAGGGTCAGAGAGGAATGTAGGGGAAGGGTATACTGAGGTGTGATCTTCAGTCTGAAACATCAAGGGCCTCAGGGACCCTGGGAATGTTCCCATAAACTTTACTGGATCAACAAGCAACTTTTCTTATTAGAAAAAAAGTATTTTTCTATTCTTTTAATTTAAAACTTGCATCCTAATGTACTCATGGAATAAACAGGCAGGATTTCTGATTAATCCTATTAAAAGACCTTCAGCTACGGCACAGCAGGAATAACTCCTCTCATGAGGTAGAAGAAGAAGTTAAATGAGCGACATATCCAGTCTTCTTCTTTCCTCCTTTCTGAGCTGTTTCCTTCATCTATGCTACACAAAGCCATAAATATTTTACTGAAAATGCCCTGAAATATATAAAAAAATGTTTTAGATTTAAAAATTAGTACATTTAACATTTCAATCTCAAAGACAGCTTGTCTGTCTTTGTATTAGATATAAGAAAAGTAGGGGGTGGTTTGACAGCAGGAACCTGGATTATCCCCTAATCTTGAGTCTTTCCCATTATCCCTGTAGACAGAGCATGTTGGCTACCATCTTGGTCCTCCTTCTCACCATTACAGGTTTCTGTCAGACAAACACTCAAAGATCAAACCTACTTGAATAATGTTGTTGGTTTAAAGAACGGTTGGCACAAAACAAAGGAAAATCCGACTGAATAGGAAAAAAGTCTAAATGTAAATAATTTTAAAGATGAGAAAATTAAAACTTTACGTTTTAGAGTTAAAGCCAAACTATCACAAGCTGGCAAAGTTTTTCTACTTTCTTTATTTATTTTGTGGCTGACAGACATAAACACTAAATGACAACATAATGTGAATTTTTTTGACATGATATTGGGTCACATTTTTTTTTATTAATAACATAACAACAAACAGATACAAACTATTAAATAAGAAACTAATTATTTTCTTGACCACTTCCAATTTAACCCAGTTGAAAAAATGAAGATTTTTCTTCTTTTTTTTTTTTTTTTCCCCAATACTGATTAACACATTATTACGCATGGCAGTGGCAGAATGAGACTGTGGTCCTTTTTCAGAGAAGCCAAATTATAGGACAGATTTGATAAACCAGGGAATCTGGGGATCTTTCTTAAAACTTGTATATTTTCACTGCTGTTGATCAGTTGTCCAACCAGGAAACAAAAAGGATAGATATAATTTTCCTCAGTCTTGTGTTGAAAAAGCTAATTTTCAAACTAACACATATTTCAAGTTAATCTTTATATCTAAAAGCAAAAAATATTTATTAATTTAAATGAAGTAAAGAAGTAATCTAAAGATCTAAAAAAAAAAAAAAAGCTTTTGTCCGGTTTTTCTCTCTTATTTGTAAGCTCTTATTTCAGAGACCCAGACCAACGTTCCTGTGTCATATGGTCTACTTGAGATGGTTTAGTTAGAAGTAAACCAGAGTAACCACAGTCTAAAAGGAGCCGTGTGTGCTGAGTTTGCATGAAGGCATTCCAGAGCAGAGCATCATTCAGTGGAGTGCGACCCTCCGCCACCATCAGAACAGATTGAAACCATGTTTGGGATCTTTCTGTTCTCTATATCAAACTCATTAACTCTCTCTCTTTGCCATCCTTTCCCATTAAATATGTCTTCAGTATTTCTTCTAACATATTCAATGAAAACACGTATGTATCTCTGCAGGTTTTCCATCTAGGTATGCTAATGTTTTCATAATCTAATGCAGGTCCTCCCCTCCCTCCATCTCCTCTGTTACTCACTAACCAGGTGAACAAACATACATGATAAGGCTATGCTTTTCAGGGCCACAACTTCACTCTCACTTAAGTTCCTATTTTCACCATTCTAACTCGGTCTGAATCCAAGATAAACAGGGCTACACTTCCTCCTCAGCCGAAAAAACGCTCACATGCCTCCAAAAAGTATCCAAACCCTGTACTGCTTTAATTCCTGTGCTTGCTGGAGCTGGAAGCCCTATTTTTCCTTGCCTTATTTTTTATTCTTTCTTGCATGTTACAGTTCTAGGGTTTTAGTTCTCTCTCCTGTTTAAAAATTAAGGAAAGTTTAGGGGAACACATGGCGTACTGGTAGAGCTGGTGGCTCAAACGCTTATAGTTTGATTCAGCTGTCTTTCTACTGTAAATAAAGCCAAGTAATCTTTTTTAAAAAGTGATAATTATAAACTCTTAAATTTCCATCAGGATATGCTCTGGGCCCCAGGAAGAAGAAAAAGAAATGACTGAATGACTGAGTTCTTTCAGCTGCCACTCAGTCGCCTCAGCAAAGCATTACAACTTTCACACAGACTTGGCAAAGTCTCCTCTGACACATCCAGGTCTCGAACCTAGGATCAAAGATGTAAACTTAGCTTGCTATACCACAGAGGTATGGAGCCTTTTACACAGATAAACCCAATGAAATACAGTGTAAATGATCACATTTAGAAGGTATGTAAGTATGAAGAAATACCATTATAAAACATGGCAGTAGCAGCATCATGCTGTGGGGACATAAAATCCAAACAAAATTTAAAATAACTTGCAGTATCAAGAAAATGTAAAAATCCTGAAGAGTGCTGAAAAGGTATTGTTTGATTTCTTAAACAACTTTCTGCAATACTTAGGGGAACCACAGAATATATCCAATTCTGATCATTTTTTCTTAGAAAAATGCATCTAAATGTTGAAAGTAATATTTAAATCCTCTTTTTCTATCAGATTTATTTTTAGTTGGCCACTAAACTTCTGATACAATCATTTCAAACTTATGTTACCAGAACAACCCCAATCTGTTTGAAGAGGAACATTGAACCTTTCAAGTAAAGTCTAAAATGTTCAGTAAATCTTGGATGTCTTTTAATCCATGTTGACTAAAAAAATCTGCGGCAAGGTTATATGTGTCTTGACATCTTTTGTTCTTGAAATCTTCCTGGTTGCAAGTAAACTCAATATTGCTAGAAATCTTTGGATAATAAAAGAGAACTATTAAAAAAAACTGAATAAATTATCAGTAACCAGACTTATCAGACAAAGTAAGTAATTTTGTTAGTGGATCGTGTACAAGTCTCAATTGTATCCACATAATCTGTCATAAGGAACTTGTAAGGGTTTCACTGCACCACACTGTAGTGATCAACAACTGTTGGTTGCACCACTAAAGCTATATGAGCCAGTCTACAGTAAATTTAGAATCATGTTAGCCCTAAATGCTGATCTGTAGATAAAAGCCTTCAGCTTATCCAAAATGCTGCAGCCACAGTTCTGATGAAAATTAAAATTATTTCTCACACATATACATTTCTCCTCTTTCAGCTTCTTTCATTGGTTTTTCTGTCAAATCATGTATAAAGCTCTAAATAACTTATCTCCATCTTGTATCAGAGATCTGATTGTACCTTGTTCTAACAGAGCAGCAAATCGCTCTCAGTCTACAGCCGGCATCCCCAAACTTGATCCTTGAGGGCCGCTGTCCTGCAGGTTTTAGAGGTTTCCTTGTTCCAGCACAGCTGATATTAATTGAAAGCTTATTAACAGGCTTCAGCTCTACTGCAATCATGATAATCAGCTGTGCTAAAGCAGGGAAACCTCTAAAACCTGCAGGACAGCGGCCCTCGAGGACCGAGTTTGGGGATGCCTGGTCTACAGGATTAGTGATTCCTAAAATCTTTAAAAGTTGAATGGGAAACAGGCTTTTTAATCAGGCTCCTCTCCTGTGGAACCAACAACCAGTTTTAGTCCATCAAGCACCCTGTCTACTTTTAAAGCTAGGCTTAAAACTCCTTTTTGATAAAGCCTATAGTCAGAATAACTCAGGTTATCAGGAGCTATTTTTCCATGCTGCTATAGACTAAGGCTGCTGGAGGACAAAGGGTCTACTTTTTATCCTTCTACTTCATTCTATGTCTATCCTCCAGTTTTGCAGTATATGTTATATCAACGCCTAACTTTATGTGATATCTTTTAATCCCTTTTGGCATGAAAACCAGCTCAGAGCTCGTCTGCTTTACTGTTTATTTCCTAGACAAAGCCATCTGTGGATCTAGTTTACTGTTACCTTTTCTAGTGTATTGTTAGTATTTATGGATCAGTTTTAAAGAAAGCAGTTTCTTACTTAAGAAACATTACTCTCACAAAGAACAATCGGATTCACATTGCTGGTCTGGTTGCTAACTGTCTGCTCGAGGCAAAAGTACTACCCTCTGTTCATGCAGATAATGCACAGTTATTAATCTGCTACCCATTCAACTGATTCCAATTTAAAATGTCCTCTTTAATATTCTTTAATTACTTGTTTGTTTTAAAAACAAAGGAAAAATCAATTATTGCTTATTTCTGGTTTATACTCACTATATTGGTCGATTTTATGTCATTATACAGTAGTGCAATGTTTTAAGTGTCAGTTTTGGTGTCTCAATATCTGTCAGAACCAAAATGTGAGTTTGAATCCCTTAAAAACATGTTGCAGCCGTTAACAGGGGGGTTGCAGGTTGTTGACAAATGATTGAACTGTGACCATTTGCTGACGGCAACGAGTGATGTCAAAGGTTTCCAAACATCACGTTGTGTGGCCAAAGAAAGAAAAAAATCCCAGTAGAGTGCTGCCGTGTGAAAACTAACACACCAGCCAGGTTCATGAATGACTGTTTTCACGTTGGCTGGCTTTATATGAGGATCCCCCCCCTCAGAGGAATGTTAGGACCTCAGGTGGAAAAACAGAAAATAGCACAGGAAATGCCTTGCTGTACTTGTTTATGTCATCAACAAGCACTGTACAATTAGTGTAAATCATGGTTGTAAGATTGGAAACATATTACATACATGTGCTAACCATCTGCTTCTGCATCCTGGAAGAGACCATGTTGGCGGTATCAAAGCATGTGCTCAAGTAAGACATAGTGGACGCCTACCAGGGGAGATTACGGGAATTATAGAGCCAGCTAAACATGAAAAAGTCAGGCAGGACACGGATCTCCAGCAAGGAGGTTTGGATTCCTCCCTGCATGATTTATTATTGGATTTTATGTAGTCATCATTACATCAGACAGGGTTTATATTGATCTCTGCATGTTTGTTTAGAGCAGGGTTCAGTGAGCATCTGTGCTGTTTCAGATAGAGGTCTATAGGGTCAGATGGCCATTGTTGGATTTGTTGTTTCCATAATCAAAACACTTAAACCAGACACTTTAACTCAGAGTAATGTCATTCACATATACGGGCGGGACATTGATGGCTTATGTTTCACAAGTTGTGTAATTACAAGGCACAACCAAAGCTCTGCTGTATACTTCCCCCCAGTTTGGCAATAAAGATGACATATTGCTGCTTCTGTTACATATAAATATGCCAGCAGGTTTAGTTAAATCTTTCAAAGTGAGACAGATTGAACATTAACAGCCATGTTTTAATATAAAACTGCTTTATCTGAACCTAAACCTAATCTGTTAGGTTTGTGATATGGAGGGGGTCTAATAATTAAACCCAACATACCAAAGCAGTGAAATCAGGTATTTTAAATGTGAATTCAAACACAAGTTTAAGACATATCCAGAAAGAAATATATTTATGCATCAATGAATTAGAGAAAATAGGATTTCAGCACCAAAAGTGAGTGAATGAATCAGGCTTTACAGGCGCATAAGCAATAAAGTTCATCTGAGTTCACATTTACCTTAAAATGAGGCAATAAAGTAGACATTAAAAAAATCTGACACTCACCTGGGAAGGAGAAAGCCAAATAAAGAAATTAAAAAAAGAATAAAAAAGAATAAATAAAAACAGCAGCGCGTCCAGGCTGGTTGTGTGCAGGTCCGGCTGGTCTGAGCGCGCCGCCGGAGCTGCTGGTCTGCTGCGCCGGAGAGCCGCGGAGGAAAGGGGCGGGACCCTGGAGAGCCGCTCCAGGAGCCTCATGCCAGCACCACGAGGAACAGAAAGCTGTTATTTTTACATCTAAACCGGACAAACAATTCCCTCTGTAAAAAGAAACTATAACTATATGCGGCTAAAATAAGTTCCTGCTTTTTAATGTAAAAATTTATTTTTGCCAGTTGGCCAAGCGCTCATCAGCAGACTTTATCAGATGAATGTCTGCTGACAGCTTGGTGTAATACTGAGGAAATATTCCACCATCATGTGGGATAATCAGGACACCCTATTGAGCCAGTGGGGTTTCCAATATTTTAGTCATAACTGCTTTCAGATTCAACAATTATTCAAATTAGAAAAAAAAGCAATTCCCTCACATTTATTTCCTATCAAAATGGCTCAAATCTCACACAGGTGAATCATATCAGGTGGACATGATGAGAATATTATAACTCAGAGGTTAAACCTTGGGCTCCTGACAGTTAAAATAAGACTAAACATTGTGTAATCCAAAGGTCTGGGTCAGCTCACTTTAACACTTTCTTTGAAATTGAATATAAAATACTTTAATCTTGTTAAAATCGAGATTTACCTTGATCCCAATGCATGCCAAATGCAAACAAAGAAAACCAGTTTATTTATGCTTGCATTTTACCAATATACTAAAAGTTTATTAGATTTCAGGATTAAATTCTTGTCTATACTCTTTTTCCTACGGTGTGGTTTTTACATCAGTTTTTTTTCCCCTATTTTCTTTAATAAAGAGTACCAAGAATATGCATTTTCTCATATTTTCTTTTTGTGTTTCATTAAAATAACAGATGATCCTAGGCTGCTTTTAGCTTATATTGCTAAACAGAGTTAGCACCACAAAAATAGGCTAATCTGTTTGGTTTTTGAACCTATAAGAAGTTCAACTTGTCTGTTCTGTTTCTCTTCCAGGCAAATTTGAATGCAATGGATTGTTATGCTAAAAAGGCTTAGTTTTAAAAGTCAGGTCTCTCTTAACTCAATCAATCAATCAATCAATCAATCAATCAATCAATCAATCAATCAATCAATCAATCTTTATTGTCAACTTAAATTTACATTGTAATCAAGATTTCAGTTTCAGTAGAAACCATACATCACATACATGGGGGGTGGACAGGGGAACGATTTGACTGAGGCCATACGTGCCAAAGAACGCTGCCTTTAGGTGCATTCTTTCGGCTGCCAGGGGCCCTGCCGTGAGGCAGTTTCCTTAGGGCGCTGACTTTATTTCTGTGGAAAAAAAAGGAGCCACGTTGGGGTGGGAGAGGGGGGAAAAAAAGCCTATTTCTCACTTTATCATTGACAGGGTACAGTTTGAGATATGAAAAAACACCTCAGCACAACAAAAGCACATATAAACACAAGACAAACATTTCAGATGAGGGTAAACATTGGCCTCCTCCTTTCATCCGATATGACTGCAGTGTGGACAAATCCTGCTAAAACTTGCACACTAAATCCTTCACTAAAACCTAAACCACTTGTTGCGCTTTAAATCAAACATTACGACCTGTAGCTGTGAACATGTACCTTTTTTTGCAATTATTTAAATGCAGAAAACACATAATTAGTCTGCTAAGAGTAGTTAGCTCTCTCCGTCATATTAAAGTCTATTTAAACTTGATCTTTTAAGGCCCCAAATTAACAAAGAATATCCAGCAACCAGCCTGTAGCTCAATATTTAGTGGTTTTCATGCATATGAGCTATAGTGCAATTTTCAGGTAAAGTTTTTATTCAAGTTCCTGATGAAACCTTGTTGCACATCTGTTGTTTTAAAGCAGTTTGTAAACACTCGATTAGGGTTTCAATGTAGAGAATAAAGACACATCTTAATGTATTACTGCTGTTATTTGGCAACACAATAATTAGAAAATCCCTCTGGTTTTTTAGCCTTCTATAAGTAGCTCCAATTAGGTGTGACATATTGTGCAGATTTAATATCCAATCAATCGAAAATCTGCAGAACCCCATTGGTATGCTTAGATCCAATAGATCCAATGTTTGTTGTAGCTGGTTTGAACAAAAAGAACAGGGCAGGGAGATACAGGAAATACATCAATGAACAATGGTAGTTAAATGGAAGAATCCCACAGTGAATACTTAAAACTAAAGAGCTTTACACAAAAGAAAACATGGAGAAGGCATAGAATGCAAATGAGAGCAATATGTTAAAAATGAAGAACAACTAAGGCAGAGGGAGAGCAGGGAGCTGAGAAGATAAAACTGATCAACAAAGGAACTGAACAGAGATGATAAAATACTTAGAGGAAAATCTAACTTCCATGACTTTAGATGAACAAAGAACGGAAGAATAAATAAAAAAGGAGCAACAGAAAACAGCAAAACTTTAGAGAATATAAATAGTGTTGAAATGATGAAACAGAGACCTAAATGAAACCTCAAACCAACAAACACCACAAAAAGGTCACATTTATGCCAAAGAGGGGATTTTCAATTGATTTAAATAATAATTGAACTTTATTATTCTCACGCTGGAGAAATTCACCTCTGCATTTAACCCGTCCCCTTGGGGAGCAGTGGGCTACCTTTGTGCCTGGGAAGCGGTGTGGAGTTAAGGGTCTTGCTTAGAGACCCAGAGTGCAGGGTGTGGGGATTGAACCAGGAGCTTGCAACCTTCTCAGAGCACAAGTGCTCTGCTCTAACCACTAGTCCAACGCTCCCCCTTCATAAAGTAAAACAGATCACGAGGAACTGCTATTAATTTATTTAGTGAATGCCTAAAACTTAAGTCACACCTTAGAGGAATACATTATCTACATATTATTTGTTGGCTGCCCAAATGGCTGCTGTTTCTCTTATTCAAACAAGAACAAGCTTGAGTGCAAATGGAAAGAGTTTCACACTAAAGTGTCCAACAGGAAAAAAACGTTTATCAACAGGAATAGATTCCCCATCCTGATCCTCAAAGGTCTGCCTGGGAATGAGCTACAGCAGCTACCTGCTTCCTGCCTGTGACACAATTGGGAAAGTGCAAAACAGAAAAACACTCCTCTGATCTGAGTCATAAGCTTTTTTTAGCTATTTGAAGAGAAATCATATTTTGTACAAAAGTATAGACATACGGAAAGTGTTGTGTTTATAGTAGATTGCTGTAGCTCCTGAAAATGGACCTTGACCATCAGGAGGATTGGGTCATTTTCTTTCATATAACAGTGATTTTGTTCACTGAAGTGCGTCTCCCTTTAGAAAGTCTCTGAAGAACCTCATCCCCGGTACATGAACTTATTGTTTGGTGACAAACAGCTGTAGAACTAAAACTGCTTTATCCGCATCTCTAATCTGTTTGTATGGTAGACAGTCCAAAAATCAGGATATGCTTTCCTTTCAAGGTCAAATGGTCCAAACCTAAGAACTTCAACTTCAAACATAAACCTGAAGTTAGCATGCTTTACACTGCAAAAATGTTCTGAAAATGAGTAAAGAGTTCTTAAAATAAAATGTATTTACCCTTAATCTGAGCAGGAAAGTAAGATGATCTGCCAATGGAATGAGCATTTTATGCTTAAAATAAGATAATTACATATTATGCACATGGAATAAGAGACAGCAGTTTTTTCTTTATTTTAAATGTAAATTATCTTATTCCACTTACTGGCTTAATTCAAGAAAAAAATGCATTCATTTTGAGAAAAAATTACTTTGTTAGATTTACATTTTGTGCACTGTATATGGCTGATTTAGTTGTTTTCTCTAAGTATGAAGCATTTAAACATGTCCACAAGTTACAATTTAGATAAATATTTTCAAAAGTATTTTTTTTTTTTATCAAATCTTATGATTTTGATATAAGTTTAGGATTAAAATGATTCTCCTTCAGAAGAGGCCTGTCAATGTGCAGCAAAAGAAATTTGCATTGGTATGAATCTGGCCAGGGTGGCCCAAACAAGCAGAATCTGTGTTTGAGACTAGGCCTGTATTTGGTCTGTGTTGTCTGCTGTTGCCACCTTTGCCCACACTCCCCCCCAAGCAGAGGGTGTTGGCAGTACTGGTCTGGTTTTACTCCATATTACCCTCCGGTTCAGTTGGCTGAGTGTGTGTACCAGATGCATCACATGACTCTATCTCTGGATCATTACCACGCTATTTCCAAACATTTAGGATCAATTGGTTACAGTAAAAAAAAAAAGAAAGTGACAAGCCAAAGTCCATTCAGCACTGTTGATCCAACTCATGGAGAAATTTGCTTTCAATAGAAGGTTTGGATATCAAAACACTATCCAAGTTATTGCTAACAGTTAATTGGTTCTTAACTGTGAAATAAATCCACAATTCACTTTAGGCATAAAACATAACCTGCAGAAAGTTATTATATGCTGTTTTTAATGCAGGCCTATATATAATTACATTAAAATTCTATGACGGTAAAGACATCCAGAAAGCAAACACACCTATTGTACCGGTATCTCAAGTTAAACATGAACTGAGCCATTAGATACCTGAAAGCAACATATCAGGCCCTGCTTACAAGTCTCTAAAGTCACTGGATGGTTTCTCTCAGTCTTCTCTACTTTCGGTTTCCCGATGTTTTACAAAACAATCAGAAAGTCCCTTTTTATTTTCTGCACAATGTCAGATTCTTTTGTCCATTTCCCTGCCACCTCCCACCATCTACCCCCAAGCCTGTATCAGCATCCCTCCACTCTCTCTACAGCACTGCAACCCAAGATAAACAACTTGTGTTCTGAAGCATGTCAGCTATTTGTTCAGAAAAGCCCACAATCTTTTGGAGGCCGTTCAGCACTGCGTCCCTGAAGGGAGGCTAGATTACAAATTTAGTGCTTTTCACAATCTGCCTCCCTCTGTTTTGTAATTTTTCTTGGTCTAAGTATATATTTGGTCTTTCTCCCTGACTCTCTCACGGCTCCATAATTTCTCACTCACCACGGTGACACTGATTTGTGGGTTTTGACACCTTACCACCTTTGAATCTGACCTTTTGTTCCTTGTGTTGTAGTAACTTTGGCCAAATGGAGCCTCTGAATTCCTCTCTTGTTTGCTAATTTGTGATTGGTGTCAAAAAATGTCATCACTTTTCTCTGATG